AGACTGAGGAAATGCGTCATGGTAGATAGCTAAGAGGCGGTAGAAAAACAATGAAGCTGAGAGAGGGACAAGTGAGGAAAGGGAAATGACAGGATTGGGTGAAGTAGGAGTTTTGCACCCTACAGGCTAGGGCGCTCTCCTAATTATAAACACAGGGCTACTGATAAGAATTTATTACATAAATCTATGCTGAGATACCCCCTGACCATATTAAATGCATATTCATCACAAAATATAACTTCTCTGGTGAGATATTGCGCATGCGCTAACACCCTAACGTAGCCAGATTTTGTACTGGCTAGTATATGCAGCGTGGCCCTTACATGCAAGATCTTCTTCCTATTTCTTAAGAGAGGTGTACTGATGGAATTTTATTAAATAAATCTATGCTAGGATAACCCCTCTTCACTTTGAATTCTATTCTGTTTGGACCGGGCAGGCCTTTTCTTATAAGATGAGTATGCGCTCTAATAACCCTGTACAAACTGCAAAATTTCATATAGTATTAAAATAGGGAGCGCCAAATCGTAGCGTACAGACACAAGACTCTGAAGTGGGCTAAGTACACACTGCTAAAATTTGGCACGCGCCTGACCCGCACCCGTTTGATACCATATCAATATCCCTACCTGATGTTAGTCGGCTTTTCTAGAGGTGTGCGTTAATAAACAGATGTAAATCAAGTAACTGCAGTTTATGTTTGTTTAGATATATAAGCCTATTAAATTGTGAAAGTGTTTACCTGATGTGCAGCTAAAAAGAGTTTGTTATAATTGTATTTCCCCCACCGATATTTATTGTTGTTATTTTTATTTTGCAATTATTAGTTTTATTATTATTATTAGTTAGATATTCAACATCGTATAACATGGGGTCAAAAGACCGTGCTGAGTACGAGTGAATGACTCCACATACCAAATCATATTTTGTTTACTGATTAGATAGTAAACTAAAAGATATAAAAAAAACTTCGCAATACAGCATTATGCAGCCACCGTAAACACGTTTATTTAAGTTCTAACAGGAATATGAATATCACATATAGCTAGAAAAAAGCGTACTTTGAAATGGAAATGAAAGGAAATAAAAATACTTCTTGTGTATTCTCCGTATGTAGCCACCTACTGCTGCACAATATTAATATAAGGTGGCAATTGAGAGCACGACGAATCGTAATACTGAGGGTCTACTATGAACACTAGCTTATCATAGGCTGAGTTATGAGTATACATGTGTTTAAATTATGAGTGATATATAATATTAATAACAACAATAAATATAGTAGAGTTAAGCTATTATAAATATAGATGTGATGCGATGCGTGCTACTCACTACACCCTAAAAACGACTCCTCTTATTCACCTTATAGCCCGATAGACCCGTTAAAATAATTACAAATGTACAGCAGCCGTACAATTGCGAAATGCTTCCCACTTATCCATCCCCAACCCATTCGCAGCCGCAGGACTAAACGTACGTACACGTCTTCGTCTTCACGCACGCACGCACGTACGCATGCACGCACGCACAAACGCGCGAGTACATCTTTAATACATGACCGTCTATCGGAGCCAACGATGGCAGCCGCCGTCACCGCGCGTTGTTGTCGTCGCCACGGCAACCGTGCTACATGTCTTTGTAGATGATCGTCACGGCGTCGAGGCACTCGGCGGTGTCGCGAGTCAGCACGTAGTCTCTCTGCACGCGATCGCTCTCGTTGTCGCACGCTTCCGGCCGAAGCCCGCTCGTGTCGACGTGAGGCACGCTCCCTATCCCCGTCAAGCACGCTCCTGCCACGTTCTTCTCCATCCTATCCACCTCCTGCAGCACGCGCTCCATAGGGAACTTCCCTTTCCCGTACCCTTCCGGCGTCGCCCCCGCACGCTCGTCGGCGGCCGCGCAGTCAAGGAAGAGGAGAGCCTTGACGGTCCACTCGTAGGTTTCCTTGAGTCGCGCGGCGCTGTCGCGTCCCGGGGTGTCATCTGGGCGAGCGGGGAATCCGGGGAGCGGCGGCACGGACGGCGGGGAGACACCGGCGAGCTCCTCCCTCAGGATGCAGTCGCGCGTCGCCGTGGCAACCTCGCTCGCAACCTCCGACCTTTGAATGACCTTCTTCACGGCTTCGTCGTGCGCATCCTGTTTAGCGAAAAGTTCATATTCCCGCCATTAACATCATAGTTAGGTTTCTGAAGGTGACTTTACTTGAACCGAAACGTAATTTTAAATGTTATACTTTGTAATTTTTACGAGAAGTGATTACAAAATTGTATATATATATATATATTATAAAAACGTAGAGATATCAATAGTCTATAATAGAGACTCTATTATGGACTCTTGATGATATAGATACACCAATTTCCCCATTAACGTCGTAGTTAGACTCCTGAAATTGCAATTTTAACCGAAATAAGGTTAAAATAAGTGTTCTGCCATCTGATCACGCTTTGATATCAACGTCACAGGCTCACCTTAGTCTCATTGGTTGGCGTGGGTTCGTATATAGTCATAGCGACTTGTATAGTATATGTATACCCATGTTCCGTTTCCTAGAAAAAAGACAATTTTCCCTGTATTAATAATCGAGTGTGGACCTTTCTCACGAAAGTTTACTCATTATCAATAGCAGTGTGCGTACTTGAGGTAAAAGTCCATCCTGAGTATTATTGACATTAGAAAGGAGACTATGTCTTATATTGTTCTTGTTAAAAGCAAATTGTTATTGCTGCTGTACTGGACTGGTTGATAGTCGCTATCAGGGCGCGAAATTAGCACCGGCCCACCGGCATATGCCGGCAAATTATTTGGAGGGTCGGTAACACTGGCAAAACACCAGCCCTCCGAGCCGGTGGTTTCAGCCGTGTTAGTGAATACCTACATTGTTATTTATAGCCTACATTATTTATAGCAAATAGCCTACATTAATTTACTGTTTTACCTGAAGGATATAACGCCATAACTTATCAACATTTTACAAATTTGAAATTGCGAATGCAAGCGTGAAACATGACCAGAGGGCTGGAAAAAATTACTGTTACCAGCCCTCTGGGCCGGTGCCAAAAAATCTGAATTTCGTGCCCTGAACATAATATCAGATCTACTTCTGATTCCGACCGAGGTGTCAATTCTATAAAAATTGGTTTAACCATGTAGCTGCCAGTCAACAGAAACGCCATAAATGTCCTCTATAAGCAGGTGGCTGTTATATGGAGGTTACTGCCACACACAGGTTGACTATATAAGCAAATGCGATGACCATGTTGTTCTCAGGTAGCGAAGTCGTGGGCAGTCACCGCGGCGCGTGTTGACATAAGCTTACCGAAATAACCGAGTGAACCGGAGAAAACATGGGTTTCGTCATCGGCTCACCGATCACCGTATCGTTCGTTACCTGTTCGCGTTCTTCCACGAGGCTGCGTTTCCACGGCGATTGTTGGCGGGCGTCCGGTGATGACGATCGGTGACGCTTGAGCGGTGCGCTCGCCTCAAACTCTGTAGCTACTCTCACTGACATGGCTTCTGGTAGTGCTTAGATATACTTGCTCAACTTTAGCTTTGTTTTTACGTATCTCCTTGAGGTATCTGGAGTATAGCAATGAGTGGCTGAATGAATAGAAATCGGTGACTGAATACGCAGACGCTCGACGTTGCCGCGTGCGTGCGTCCGCTCTGGCAGGTGTTATAAAACTTGTGTGAGGTTAGCTCTAGTACTATAGCCCGCGTACAGTTGCCGCGCGGGCTATAGTACTAGAGCTAGTGTGAGGTTGGCTTATAAGTAAGCGGATGCGGTAGCTTGATCTGTTTGTGATGTGACGTATGCACGTGGGTGCGCCTCGCATGCGCGCGCACGTGCACCTGCACAAACGTAAAATTCCCCGCACACGGTGCACATGCATTGGTCAGATGTATCGCCGTATAAGCTCGACAAGTCGCACAGTGAGCTTATATTTCATAATCTGTGCATGTTGCTCCGCCCAGTTATACGCGTATAGCTACAGCCGGTTGTTCACACGTCCGCTATACGCGTACGAAATGCGTATAGCTATACGAAGTACGTACGAAACGCACCTTTTTGGTCAGAATAGCTATACGCGTTTCGAACTGAGTATAACTATACGTGGTCATTCACACGAGAAAAATTTGTCCTGAGTACGTACGAAACTGACTACCTCAGTGATAAGTGGGGGTTTAGAGACCTTTACGCCGCACTGCACGCGTGGTGGGGGTGTATGATACTCGGCGTGTCATATATAGCATATTGAAGAAGGTGAGATACACACGTTAGTCATCGTATGACCTTTGCACATGACTGAGATTAGTGCATAGATTATTTATAGATTAGCTTACTATTATGCCTAGCCGATCTCCTTAGAATTCAGATTGATGACATAATAAGCGCGATATGTAATTCTGCGAAGAATCATGCGCAAAGAAAACCACGCCGAAAATGTTTTTCATGATGCATATAATAACGCGTCTAATGCTCAGCAGAGAAACAAAAGCAGCACTTACCTCAGCTCGTTGTTCGGTTTGTGTCTTTGCACTTGATACTGCGCTTATATGTGCTCTAGTGTAGTGTTTTCCCTTATATATCCCCGGTAAAAGTAGCTTGCGTCATTTATAGATAAAACAACATCTCTTCCGGTAATATTTGGAAGCGATGCGCTGTTGGCAGGTGTTGTTTGCTATATTGATGCAAATCAATGCGGTTCTGTGCAAATCTGTCATCAGCCTTGTGGTAAAATTATTGCGTTCAATTGTTTACCGATGGCGTGCTAGCGTTTACCTTTGTTCGATGGATAACGTAACCTTAATCGAAAGTGGTGACGAAAGATTACCTGCAACGAAAGTAGCAAAAATGATTTTTCGGCAGGACCAGGCTGTCTAAAAATCGGTTTGCCGCCGACCGTAAACCGCGCCGAAGATCCGCGACCGCGAATTTTTTTTCCTTACACCGTTCATATGCCATTGGGTCTGATATTAACGCTAATCAACTTCCGCCATCAGACTATTCCGTAATATACCAGGAATGATGCAAAAATCCTAACCCATAACCCTAACCCCTAACCCATCCGAACGCTTAACACTAACATAAACGAATCGGCTTATATACTATCTATGGTATCCCAAACACTATCTATGGTGTGGTCAAATCAAAGCAGCCAATCAGAGGCGCCCAATGGATATAACGTGTAGAAAAAAATTATTCGCAACCCGGCCGACCTAGTAGTAAAAATCATGTGCGCGGGGAGGAGGGAAGGAGAGGGAGAGAGACAGAGAGGCAGAGAGAGAGAGAGAGAGAGAAAGAGAGCAGAGAGAAGAGGAGAGCAGATGAGAGAGAGAGAGAGAGAGAGAGAGAGAAAGAGAGAGAGAGAGAAAGAGACAGATAGTGAGGGAGAGAGTGAGAGGGAGTGAGAGAAAGTGAGAGAGAGAGAAAGTGTGTGTGAGAGAGTGAGAGACCCACACACCACTCACGCGAGTACATGACCTTTAATACATGACCGTCTATCAAAGCCAACTATGGCTCATACAGAGAGGGAGAGAAAAGAAAGCGAGAGAGATAGCAAGATAGAGAGAGAGAGTGTGTGTGAGAGAGAAAGGGAGAGACAGAAAAAAACATAGAGAAGCAGAAAGAGGGAGGCATTTGGTTCGTAGGTGATTAACGATCTCCCGCGCTATCATTTGTTCGCAGGTGCTGGAGTTTGTGCGCTTCCGCGACCTCCCTCAACAACTCGCCACAGTTTGCCGTCTTCACCGCTGAGAAGCTCGTTCTAGACATGATGATGGAGACCAGCAGTCACGCGTCTGCGGAGAAGCTGCTTCGCTTCATGGANCTGTCTTTATTTTGTAATATGTTGGTCAACATTCAACATATTTGAACATGGGTGGTTTAAAATGATAGCAGGGCATCTCCTTGAACAAATTTAGGGGTAAAAAGCACCATTAGAGCCTGTTCTTGGCCAAGGCAGGGGTGCTAAAAGCAATATTCAAGATTTCGAGGAAGGTCAAAAATTGGTGACCTTTTGACCTCTAGTGACCTCATTATTCAACTATCATTAGAAAGAGCTCTTAAATACCAACATTTTGAGTGGTCACATGATCCATTAGCTTTAAAAACAACACTTCTAGTAGACTTTTTGTTTTCCCCACCCCTAATTTTTCGCCAATTTTTGAGTTGACGCTCTCAACACAAAAGGGTTAATACAGAAAATTGCTCAAGGGTGACGGGTGGTCATCCACCTAGAAAGTGAAGACCAACACCTAGTCTACAAGAATCAGCAAAGAAAAAAACTTTAACTCTCAGTGCAGGGTTCCGCCCAAAATCAGGGTTTGGCTCCCGGACTAGCTAGTCGTAAATAAAAAGAAAGCTCTAGCTTAAAGAATGTCAGCCGCAGACACCTTCTAGTTGTTACATTCTAGTAGCGTTGATGTCTTTAGCTTTGTGCTAGTGCGCGCACCTTTCCTACAACATAACTGTGCAATATAACACGATATTAAAACAGATTTAGGACTTATGATAAATTCCGGCGAATTCCGGATAAACAACAAGCGCATGTGATATTGTGCGGAAATTAGGAAGACTGGACATAACATAACATTGAAATGCCTCGTCACACAACACACACGCAGGTACGTACGCGCGCACACAGAAAGAGAGGTGGATAACCAGAAGGAGAAGTAGATAACCAGTAAGAGAGGTGGATAACAAGAAAGAGAGGTGGATAACCAGAAAGAAAGGTGGATAACCAGAAAGAGAGGTGGATAAATAGAAAGAGAGGTGGATAACCAGAAAGAGAGGTGGATAACCAGAAAGAGAGTTGGATAACCAGAAAGAGAGTTGGATAACCAGAAAGACAGGTGGATAACCAGAAAGAGATGTAGATTACCAGAAAGAAAGGTAGATAACCAGAAAGAGAGGTGGATAACCAGAAAGAGAGGTAGATAACCAGAAAGAAAGGTAGATAACCAGAAAGAGAGGTGGATAACCAGAAAGAAAGATGAATAACCAGAAAGAGAGGTAGATAACTAGAAAGAAAGGTAGATAACCAGAAAGAGAGGTGGATAACTAGAAAGATAGATGGATAACCAGAAAGAGAGGTGAATAACCAGAAAGAGAGATGGATAACCAGAAAGAGAGGTAGATAACCAGAAAGAAAGGTGGATAACCAGAAAGATAGGTGGATAACCAGAAAGAGAGATGGATAACCAGAAAGAGAGTTGAATAACCAGAAAGAGAGGTAGATAACCAGAAAGAAAGGTGGATAACCAGAAAGAAAGGTGGATAACCAGAAAGAAAGGTGGATAACCAGAAAGAAAGGTGGATAACCAGAAAGAAAGGT